TATATATACCTTTGTATAGATTAAACTGGGTGGGATTTTATCATATACATTTTTTTGGTATAATACATGAGAAACAGGAACGGGAACATAGCAAATATAAATCAGTACATTCCTTGAATGAACTCTTTGCCACACAGAGACTAAAAATTGCATGCAATGGGGAGACAGAGAGAAGGGATATCAGTTTTATTAAAAACAAAACAAAACCCCAAAGACAATCTAGGTACAACTGTCAACAGAGGAGCAGCACTATATATGGCAAACCTGTATAAATTAAAAGTAAGTTCCACTCTGACATCTACTATGCATTAAAGTGCAATGAAGCCCGATTTATTTACCTACAGAATACAGGAAAGATTACCCCCCTCTCCCCATTCCAATCTATCCCTAAAAAAACCCCAAAACCAAACCACAAACGAGAAAACAATAAAATAAATCTAAAGGATATACATTATCCACAGTCCTATAGAGACGCCTACATCTACTCAGTAGCACCAAGAATCTGATATGGGTGTAATTAAATCAATTAAAACTGGGGAGCAATGGGAACATCTTTTGCTGCTTTTGCAGACCTCCTGCCCTTCATTAGTGTCTCGGAGGGGAGGCAGCTCCTCTCCCTGTGCTGGAAGCCAAGGGGACAGTGTCCTGTCCTCTCTCCATCCCTGGCTGAGCTGAACTGGCAGCAGGCTACGAACACACACACGCACACAGAGCACAGTGAGAGCAGCTGCAGGTTACACCGAGGGGACGTCATGGGAAGCCGAGGCCCCACGTGTGCACACACAGGTGTCTGCACGTGGGTGCATGTGTGTGGAGGGAGCGGGACTGATCTACACAGAGGTGAAGGGTTGTGTGAGTCCAACACATGCCACAAGCCTCCTTGGTGAGAGGGTGATGGGAAGGGAAGGGGAGGGGAGGGAGGGAGGGAAAGGGACTCAGCACAGTTCTCTTCTTGCCAGCCTCTGGCTGTGTCGTCTTCCAAGGCCAGGGGCCTGTGTGCCACAGTTCATCCGTCTCCACATGCCACCTCTCAACAGGCTTCAGTAGCCAAAGGTCTCCTGGGAAGCATAGACCATGTAGAGGAAGCCGTCCTCGTCCTTCTCCTGCTCGTAGATCTCCGAGATGGGGGTAGACACGCTCACCATGCTGTGCTGGTTCACCAGCAGGAAGAAAGCCTGGGTGGGATTCAGCTGCAAGCGACGCCTGTGGGGGCAAGGGCAGGAGGGCTGGGGTCAAGCCACTGGCTGGCCAAGTGCAGCTGACAAGGGCAAAGCAGACAAGCGTGTTCCATAAGGATACAGAGGCATCCCTGCCCATGGAAGCGGGGTTGGAACTAGATCGTCTTAAGGTCCTTTCCAAACCAAACCATGTTAGTATTCTATGAGTCTATAAAAGAAGGGGATTGGAGTCCCCCTCATCAGCTTCCTATGAGGGAGGTCACAGTCCTTCACCAGATGCTAAGAACCTGTCTCCCCCCACCCCCCAAAGAGG